AAATGTTTATCTGGATAGTAATGGTGGCTTGGGAAAATTCTTTAAATAAACTTGGTTTCCTTTTGAGAGTTTAGAAAAAATGAGATTGGATTCTGGTTACATTAATTAGAATGGCTTGTTTATTAGTTTAATTTAATATCTTAGTTGATATAGAGGTCAGTGTTAAAAAAAAAAAAGGACTTAACCACAGCCTTCATTTCTTACCATGGATTCAGCATGGAAAGAGAAATTTAGAAATGTAGAAAAAGAAACTTAGTGAATCAGATTTTCCTACCGTGTAAATTTTTATCATGTAAAGAGGGCATCCTTTCTCTGAAAAATATCAAACTCTTCAGAAAATTATGGTAATTAACTTTTGCCTACTAGATAGATATCAATTGCCAAATATCAGCCTAATGGGGTGGAAAATGGCTTCATATACTTGGGTTCTTGTCTGAGCTCTATACCAACTAAGTATATAGCCTTGAACAAGTCACCAACATGTATGGAATCGTTAATAAAATCAAAAATTGAACTTTGTCTTACATCAATTCTTTGGCAGCTCCCAGAGAAAACCAATTTCTTCCCTTGAAATTGAAAATAATGGTAAAATCTGGCTGTCATTTATTGAGCATGCTATCTGGCATAGTGCTAAATTCTTTACAAACATGTATTAATGAATCTTCTGTATCACTCATTGTTCTGACTTGGAGACAATAGAGCTAGTTTAGAAAACCAGCGCAGAGACTTCTTGGGAAAGCCAGAGATCAAGCTCAGAGGCTGTGCTTACCTGAACAATGCCCACATCACACCTGATGAGCTGGTCCTGCAGAGAGTCACCAGTCCCAGTCAGACTACATTCACATTGTTGCTGCTGAGACTAGAGACCAGACGCTTTGCCCTTGCTGGATCAGTCACATGTGACACTTCAAACAACACCATAGTCTACAGGTAGACTGCTCATCTTTGCCACCTCACACTGCTCACTTTCAAACCAGTCCAAGACAGATGCTTCTGATCAGCAGCACCTAGAGTAGCTACCAGTAGTCCTGCTACAAGAGGAAACTGGGAAACAAATTTTTGGATTCTACCTCAGGAAGGAAGAATCAGAAAATGAAATTTTTGGTTCATATTTTAGAGATAGTAAAAGTACAGCTGAAACTCAAAGTACCCGTAGATTAACTAGTTATACTGCTCCTAAGTAATTTAATAAAATTTATACCTAGATTTTCTTGATTGCAAAGATACTCTTTGACACTCTGCTATATGGGTACTTTATGGTGATTAAGCTTTCCTCATAAGGATCAAGAGAACAATAAAATCTCTAATTTTCCAGATGAAAGTTTGTTTCCCAACTTTTTCTCTTTCACCATTACCCATCTCTACTCCCTTCTTTGCCAAATTCAGAGACATGTGTTCCTTCATCGCATTTTTGTAATCCATATAAGTCAGGACTCTTGGCTACAAGCAAACGAAATCAACATGGTTAAGTTTAAGAAGAAAAGGAGTTTGTTGAAAGTATTTTAAGCCTGTCAAAAATTACAAAATATCTGGATAGCCAAGCTCATAAAATGTGCAGAAACTAAGGAAAGTCACACAATTGAAGCCACAGCTAAGGCCACATCACAGGAACTGCTGCCCCCAACTGGACACTGGACACTACCACTACTGCCAATGAACATGACCACTAGACAGAATAAATTCACTTACCTGATTTTTATCACTTGCTGTTTATTAAAAACTGAACACTGAATGGCCAAACTTGGGGTGGAGAGAGCAAAGGCTTAGTGGATTTTGTAGATGGAGGGTAGGCCCTGCCTCCATCAGGATTCCTACAGAAGATTGCCCAACCTAGAAATGTGGTTCAGATGCTGGCATGGTAAACAGAGGATCTGAGATGAGGCAAATCAATTCTGATGTTTTGGTGTCAGAGATCCAGCTCTTCAGGGATATGGACCCTTATCACAATTACATAAGTCACTTGCTCATTAACCTGTTCCCCAGCCCCTGGGGAATATCTGGGGTCTTCCTTATGTAAGGGAGATGGAAATGGGCTGCAGGACTGTGAGAGATGGGCAAGGTCTTGTCCATGGAGTAGAAAACAAAGAAGGGTTGTGGCAAGGCTCAGATATAACTCATGATGGAGGAAGATATTTATTAGCTCTTTAGCAGAGGTATGGTTCAGATATTTTACCTCATTCCATAGACTGTCTCTTCCTGTTGATTTTTTTTTTTTCTGCACATAAGTTTTTAGTACCTCTAGCTTTGTTCTTTTTGCTCAAAATTGCTTTGGCTGTTCAGAGTCCATGAGATCCATATGAATTTCAGGATTTTCTACTTCTGTGAAAATTAATTTTGATAGGTATTTCATTGAACATGTAGGTTGCTTGAGTGGTACATACTGTATATTAACTTCTAAGTCATAACTGTAGGATATCATTCTATCCATTTATGTCTTCTTTAGTTTCTTTCATCAGTTCTTAATAGTTTTCAGTATATAGCTCTTTTACCCCTTAAGTTAATTTTATTGCTAGGTATTCTGTCCTTTTAAATGCTATTATAAATAGGATTATTTCCTTGATTTATTTTTTAGATAATCCATAATTATTGCATAAAAATGCTACTCTTCTTTGAGTTGGTTTTGTACCTTGAAACTTTACTGAACTAATTTTTAATTCTAGAATTTTTTAGTGGAATCTATATATATTATATATCATGATATCTACAAATAAAGATAATTTAACTTCCTCCTTTATGATATAGATACCTTTTATTTCTATTTCTAAATTGCTTTGCCTAAAGCCTCTAGTGCTATGTTGAATACAAGTGGAAAGAGTATCATCTTGTTTTATTCCTGATCTTAGAAGAAAAGCTTTCAGCTTTTCATTAGTGAATATGACTTTAGCTATGGGATTGTCATACATGAACTTTATTATATTGAGGTACATACTTTCTATACCTAATTTTTTAGAGTTTTATCATGTAAAATGTTTAAATTTGTCAAATGCTTTTTCTGCATCTATTGATATGGTCATGTGGTTTCCTAAAAAAAAAAAATAGAACCACCTTATGATCCAGCAATTTCACTTCTGGATATATATATATCCAAATGAAATGAAACCAGTATGTTGAAGAGATATTGCCATACAATTCATTCTTGTTTTATTTGTTTATTTTTGGTATTGGGCATTGAACTCAGGGGTTCTTAGCCACTGAGCCACATTCCCAGTCTTTTTATTTTTTATTTTGAGACAGGGTCTTGCTAAGCTGCTTAGGGCCTTACTAAATTTCTAAGACTGGCCTTGAAGTTGAGATCATCCTGCCTCCTGGGTTGCTGGGATTATAGGCCCATGCCACCATGCCCAGCTATTCATTCTTTAAAAATAAAGAAAATCCCATCATTTGCAACAACCTGAATGAACATGGAGGTTGTTATGTTAAGTGAAATAATCCAGGCACAAAAAGATTAATATTGCATGATCTCACTTACACATGGATCTAAAAACGTCAAACTCATAGATACAGATAGCAAAATGGTGGTTACTTGGGGGTGGGGGTGGGGGACAGGAAGGAACAGGAATCATCAAAAGATGCAAAATTTCAGTTACAATTCAGAAGATTCATTGTAGTTTATGGTATCTTCAGTTAATAATAATGTTATATACTTGAAAATTGCAAAGAGAATAGATTTTAAATGTTCTCATCACAAAAATTAAATATGTGAAGAAGTTGATAAATTAATTAATTTGATTTAATAATTTTATAATGTATACTTATATTACAGCATCATATTATATGCCATAAATATATTAAATATTTATCTACCAATTATATACATACATATATATGTGTGTATATATATGTGGGTTTATATATATATGTGTGTGTGTGTGTATATGTATATATATGCATAATGTGTGTGTATATATATGTGTATATATACATATGTGTGTGTGTGTGTGTATATATATATATATATATATATATATATATATACACACACACACATAGGATAACTATAGGATATATATATACACACACATATAGAATATATATACATATATTTTATTATTTATAACTTTTTATTATTTTATTATTTATGATTTTTAGTGTGTGTATGTGTGTGTGTGTTTGTATATATATATATATATATATATATATATATATATATATATATATATATATATATATACATACATACAATTTCTTGTACCAGTATTGAACTGAGGGGTGCTTAACCATTGAGCAACATTCCCAGCCCTTTTTATTTTTTATTTTGAGACAGGGTCTCACTGAGTTGCTTAAGTCCTCACTAATTTGCTGAGACTGGCTTTGAACTCATAATCCTCCTTCCATAGCCTCCCAAGCAGCTGAAATTACAAGTGTATGCCACCATGCCTGGCTAAAATAGATAGTATTTTAAAAAATAGTATACACAGGCAGTCATGATTTGTGGTGGAAGTGGGCAGTTCAACATGAAATTTTGCACCTGTTTCTAGGTGGATTCATTTCACTGCTCCATTCTTCTACAGGTGTTGACATCAGTATGACCTGTTCTGTTGAATAAACCACTTACTTTCACTATCCATACGTTACTCTCAATAAAGCCAAAGGGTTGAACTAGATGGTCTATCTCAAAAGTCCTTTCCAATTCTGAAATGTTCTAAATTGAACATTTTCCAGATACTGGGCCATCCTCTTGGGTCTTGTAGTCAGTAGCTCAGATCAGCAAGGTAATCATCTCTCCTCAGTCTTGCAGGGCAGAAAGGCCATAACCATGACCTTGCTCTCTCTGTGTCCCATCGCTGATACCCACAGAACACACCCCTTCAACTGCAGGCCAAAGAAAAGCATGAGGAAGAAAAACTGAATCCTATTAAATAAATAATTTCTACTTCTAATGAATTAAGTAAAAAATCTCTAAAAATGTTAGAAGAGAAACGTATTCCAAAACCTAAAAAGGAAAGATTAATCCAAATGGGCTTAAGGTCCCATTTACTGATGTGAATTTTCTGCCCCAGGGAGAAGCAAAGATGACGAAAGATGGGAAGGTCTTCAGAGTGGTCCAAGAGAACTGTTGGGATCCAGAAGTTCGTATTAGAGAAATGGATCAAAAAGGTACTTAAAATAAGAAATGCTACCAATGTATGTGTCTGATATAAAAACAACGTCTGCCTTTAAAGTTTGTTAACTGGCATGACCTACCCAGGAACAACTTCTGATCTTTTTCTTTGCCAGGACATGCTGTTCCAGCTTCTGTGGGGAAGAGAGAGGCTTCCACTATAATGCTTTTAAAGTATGGATTTTTAAAATGCTTTGCAATTAGTTGAATTCTGTTTAAAGTAGAATACTGTATCATCAAAAAGATAATAGTAGTAGCATTTTATTATTTATAACTTTTAGTTCAAATTATTGTAGAATCAATTAAAATTAGAAATGACAGATTAAGGATGTCAATTGTCTGCTTAGTCAAACTTGGGATCCAATTTCTTTCTTTTCTTTTTTTTTAACAGATACAACATTTTTTATACCTTTATTTTATTTATTCACTTTTATGTGGTGCTGTGGATCAAATCCAGTACCTCACACATGCTAGGCAAATACTCTACCACTGAGCCACAGCCACAGCTCGGACCCAATTTCTTTTTATCTCAGTGCACTAGATAGGTAGGTAGTTAGGTAGGTAGGTAGGTAGGTAGGTAGATAGATAGATAGATAGATAGATAAATACACAGACAGATCTACTGACACAAAAGGGGTATAAGGTAAAAAAAAAAAAGGTAATTGTGCAATCTCAGAGTACTCTATGATGAAAGCAATCTGAGGATCTGAAAGAAGAGGATTAGGAAATTTTTGTTTCAAAGCTGAATTGCTAACAATTTCTAGGAACTGCTTGCATTCCTTATATCTAAAAAGAAAACAAGTCCTCACGATTAAGAATTTCAAAGACTATCTAAAATATATGATGGCCACATTATGCTTTCATTTATTACTTCCTGGATGACTATGCTCCCTGAGGAAAGCATGCTCCAAGAAAATGCATCAAACCTTTCAGACTTACACGAGCCAAGCCCATTCTGGGGAATTCACCCCTTCTGGCACTACCAGTCCTCAGTTGTGACATTGGTAATCTAAATTTGAACCAGAAAACAAACAACACACTCATACACACACACACACACACACACACACACCAGTTTAGAACTACCATTTTCCTAATCAAAGAAAGAAAAATTTAGAAGTTTATATATATTTATACAGAGAGAGAGAGAGAGAGAGAGAAAGAAGAAGAAGAAGAAGACTTTGATTTTATTCCAAGGAATCAACCTGGCAGCCCAAAATGACTAAGTGGTCTCTGGTATGTTAGAATCTATAGGAAACTTTTGTCTAGGTGTGGCTTTCCATTTTTCATTTATTGTTTGTTTGTTTGTTTATTGGCACCAGGGATTGAACCCAGGGGGACTGACTTAGCCACATCCCCGGCCCTTTTTATTTTTTATTTTGAGACATGGGTAAGTTGCTTAGGGCCTCGTTAAATTGCTGAGACTGGTTTTGAAATTGCAATCCTCTGCCTCAGCCTCCTAAGCTGCTGGGATTGCAGGAGTGTGCCACCACGCCAAGCTGCTTTCTATATTTTTTAACAATTTAAAATATACCTTTATGGCCTGGCATAGCGGCACATACTTCTAATCCTGGCAATGCAAAACAAAATAAAATATTTATATAAATATTTTAAATATAAATACTTCATATATGTTTTAAAGATAAATATTTTAAATATATTTTAAATATAAAATAATATAAAAAATGTCTCAAAATAAAAAAAAAAATGGGCTGGGGATGTGGCTCAGCAGTTAAATGCCCCTGGGTATTATTCCTGGGTACCAATTCCTGGAATATATATATGTCTCTATATAAATTTTATATATAAATTACACACACACACACACACACACACATATCCCTAGGTGGCATTCAAATGGAACTTTTCAGAATCTGAAGCACTTCCTGTTCTAAGAGTACATTAGGAGAGAAGCAGAGCTGGAGAAGAACATGCTTCCTAGATCTACAATAAAAAGCAAGGCTTTGCTATAGATGTGAATGGATAAAAATGGCCCATGCTTTCAAGGAGAAAACTAGTGGGAATGAGACTTGGCTGACTAGTGTCAGAAATCATTTATGGCTGTAGTATAGATGGAAGTATATGTCTCTTTGGCTATTGTTGTTTCAATCCATTGCTATCATTGAGAAAATAGTCATGACTAATCCTTACTGAACATTTACTTTGTGTCACACACTGTTCTGAACACCCAACAGGTATTGATCCATTTAATTCCTACAACAGCTCCGGGAGGTAGGCTCTCTTGAAGACAAGTGATTCTTGGCATCCTAGATTCTGGAGCCAAACTCAGGATCCCATTCTGGATATTTCAGACAATGAGGCTCCAACTAGGCTGATTTAGGAGCTGAATTAAGAGGGTAGGGAAGAGTGCTGAGAGATACATTGTCATATATGACCTAAGTTGAAAAATCCTGGCAGGGGTGGAGGGGCAGGGAACAGTGGAAAATGTCTTCCTTAAAGGAGGGTGGAAGAAACTCCTGGTCAATGATTCAACTTATTTTTCTTGAATGACCTAATTTTGGTCCAACCTTTACCTCTCTCCCAAGATCTTAGGCTGATGGATGAGGTAGGCCTGGGAAATGGCCTGAGAGAAGGGGCACAGGGAGGAGCACCCAGGGAGAGGTGACAGGAGGAGGTTGGGACAGAGGCTTGCTGGCCTCTTCGCTCTGGGAAAGGCGGTAGTGCCTGGGTTATTCTTCTCACCAGCTTTGCTTTTCTTTGTGTCTGTGTCTAGGAGTATCAGTGCAAGCTCTTTCCACCGTTCCTGTCATGTTTAGCTACTGGGTGAGTATGAAACTTCAGACCATCACCCTAGTGGGGAATGCTCATGTCCAGCTCCCCAACAAGTGACCAAGGCTCCCCCTCCCCCAACAACAGCAGCATCCTCTCCCAGGCCTGTCTTCTTAGCCATGTCCTTGCTCCAGAACAATAGCCAGGAGGATGTGACTCACATTAAAGTTCCACTAGAACTCAACCTTCATCTCTACCAGAATGTACCTGTCTGGTGACTCATTCCTGCAATGCCTTGCTGGGGAACTGACAAGCCAGTTTATTCTGAGGTGAGAATGATTTTGAAAAAAGATGATCACAGCCTAATGTGTTGCTTCTCCCAAGGAAATATATAATTCAAAGTGAAAGTCCTGAACTTGGATCCCTTTCCTCAAGTTAATAAATCTCAAGCACTGAAAATTTCAGGCATGATTTGGAGCCTGCTGAGGGAAATTTCTGTGTAGAGTTGAAGTTGTACTAAATACCTGCCCAGCCAAGCAGATATTCACTCCTCTTATGATTTAAGAAGTAATGGAAATACCACCCATTCCATATACTTCCCCAACCTGTGTTCATAAATCCAGTATTAGAGGTTTAGTCCTTCTCTGCTCCTGTGTTTAGATTCACTACTTAAATAAAATGCCTTAAAACCTCAGGATGCCTGAACTTATCAAACTAAGCATCACTCTGACAAGACAACTGGAATTGCAAGTAGAGTACCGAATTCCTGGCAGTGGGGTGATGTTGAAAGGAAGAAGACAGTGCAGAAGAGAGAGTTAGAGAAACCAAAAGCAAAATTTATCTGTCTTAGCCTTTTGCTGAGTCTAGCTCCAAGTGTCATAGCCAATAGGAAGGATACATAAGAGGACAGACAGGGATGGTAGAGGTCTGTGAGCAAGGCTAGCATCCCTAAAAGAAGAGTGACAAAAATGTGAACTGATGGTAGCTTCAGGCATTGGGCCAGATACAGCCTCCTAACTGAGGAAGCCATCAAAATCTGTCTGCAATTGGTGGTGGCCCATTTTCATTTCGTCTCTAATATGAAATGGCCCAGTAATTAGGATGCCAGTCCCAGTAATCTATTCTAGCTTCAATTTTTCTAAGTGACCAGTATACACTGGCAGTTTTCTTTGATATTTACAAAGATTGGGTCTTCTGTAGGGAGTGCCTTTCTCATTCTGTACCTCAGCTTTATTATGGGTAAAGCCATTGAGAAGGACAAATAGTTTAGCCAAGAGAAGGCATTGTTTAGAGTAAATGACTAAAGAAGTAGGTTTTGAACAGCATAGTTTTCCCTCTTCTGTTTCCACCAGGCCAAACCTCAAGACACTTTGGATCTATGCCAACTTTTAAACAACAACATAGCTGCCACTGTTGCCAGCCACCCCAGGAGGTTCGTGGGTCTGGGGACATTACCCATGCAGGCTCCAGAGCTGGCCATCAAGGAGATGGAGCGCTGTGTGCAGGAGCTGGGGTTTCCAGGGGTCCAAATTGGCTCCCACATCAATAAGTGGAACCTGAATGAGCAGGAACTCTTCCCAGTCTATGCAGTGAGTACACAGCTGTCACTCAACCAAGGCGTAGCCCCAGAACACCTAGCTGGGGACAGGCACCTTGCTAGGTGCTAGTAGGAAGACACAGGCACCTCCCACTGGGGTGGAAGACAGAAATGACTTATATGTAGACAGGAGATGTGGAAATCCTCTACCAAAACTCCTCCCAAAAAAGGAATGGGTCATTCTACAGAAGAAGGGCAGTGTAAATACTTCCTAGGCCAGTTCTGAGTTAACTCAGTGATGACATATCTCTTCTTCCTATCATTCTTGTTCTCTTTTTAATCTTTTATTTGGAAGCCTAAATATCACCCTCATCATAAGCATTGTGTATAGTACCATGTCAATGCCAAAAAATTGGGGTTTTCTTTGGGAAAAAATACTTAATGTATTTCAAAAATATGAAATAAATTTGAAGAAACTATGGAAAATACAGAAAAATATAAATAAATAAAAAGTCACCCTTAATCCTCCAACTCAAAGTAACAACCGTTGTAGTACATTTTGTTTTTTTAAAACTGCATATATCCTAAGCCAACCTCAGCAACTTAGCAAGGCCCTAAGCAACTAAGTGAGACCCTGTCTTTAAATAAAATGCAAAAAAGGGCTGAGGTATGGCTTAGTGGTTAAGTGACCCTGAGTTGAATCCCTGGTACAAAAAGAAAAAAACTTCATATATCCATACTTTAACAAAACTGACATTTTTTTACACATGTGTTTTCAAATGCTAATTGAGAACTTCCAAACTAAATGAAATTTATCTTAATGTATGATTTTTAACTGCAGAATATTCTAATATATGGATTTATTTTTATTTATTTAACCTGACCTCAATTAAGAAACTTTTTAAATTATTTTTTTATTTATTTATGATCAGCAGAATGCATTACAATTCTTATTACACATATAGAGCACAATTTTTCATATCTCTAGTTGTATACAAAGTATATTCACATCAATTCGTGTTTTCATACATGTACTTTGGATAATAATGTCCATTACATTCCACCATCATTTCTAACCCCATGGCCCCTCCCTTCTCTTCCCATCCCTCTGCCCTATCTAGAGTTCATTTATTCCTCCCACGCTCCCCCTCCCTACCCACTATGAATCAGCCTCTTTATATCAGAGAAAACATTCAGCATTTGGTTTTTTGGGATTGGCTAATTTCACTTAGCATTATCTTCTCCAACTCCATCCATTTACCTGCAAATGCCATGATTTTATTCTCTTTAATTGCTGAGTAATATTCCATTGTGTATATATACCACATTTTTAAATCCATTCATCTATTGAAGGGAATCTAGGTTGGTTCCATAGTTTGGCTATTGTGATTGTGCTGCTATAAACATTGATGTGGCTGTGTCCCTGTAGTATGCTGTTTTTAAGTCCTTTGGGTATAGACTGAGGAGAGGGATACTTGGGTCAAATGGTGGCTCCATTCACAGTTTTCCAAGAAATCTCCATACTGCTTTCCATATTGGCTGCACCAATTTGCAGTCCCACCAGCAGTGTATGAGTGTACCTTTTCCCCCACATCCTTGCCAATACTTGTTGTTTATCTTCATAATAGCTGCCATTCTGACTGGAGTAAGATAAAATCTTAGAGTAGTTTTGATTTGTATTTCTCTAATTGCTAATGATGTTGAACATTTTTTCATGTGTTTTTTGATTGATTATATATCATCTTCTGGGAAGTGTGTGGTTAGGTCCTTGGCCTACTTATTGATTGGTTTATTTATTTTTTTGGTGCTTAGCTTTTTGAGTTCTTTATATACCCTAGAGATTAATGCTCTATCTGATGTGTGAGGGGTAAAGATTTGCTCCCAATATGTAGGCTCTCTATTCACCTCACAGATTGTTTCTTTGGCTGAGAAGAAACTTTTTAGTTTGAGTCCATACCATTTATTGATTCTTGATTTTAATTCTTGTTCCAAAGAAGTCTTATTAAGGAAGTTAATCTCCATCCCACATGATGGACATTAGGGCCTACTTTTTCTTCTATTAGATGTAGGGTCTCTGGTTTTATTCCTAGGTCCTTGATCCATTTTGAGTTAAGTTTTGTGCATGGTAAGAGATAGGAGTTTAATTTCATTTTATTGCATATGGATTTCCAGTTTTCCCACCACCATTTGTTGAAGAGGCTACCTTTTCTTCAATGCATGTTTTTGGCAACTTTGTCTAATATCAGATAATTGAAATTTTGTAGGTTAGACTCTGTGTCCTCTATTTGGTACCATTGGTCTACCAGTCTGTTTTGGTACCAATACCATGCTGTTTTTGTTACAATTGCTGTACAGTATATTTAAGGTCTAGTATAGTGATGCCACCTGCTTCACTCTTCCTGCTAAAGATTGCTTTAGCTATTCTGGGTCTCTTATTTTTCCAGATGAATTTCATGACTGCTTTTTCTATTTCTATGAGGAATATCATAGGGATTTTGATTGGAATTACATTAAATCTGTATATTGATTTGGGTAGTATGGTCATTTTGATAATATTTTGACTTCTTTCTTTAAGGTTCTGTAATTTTCATTATATAGATCTTTCACCTCTTTCACTAAGTTGAATCCCAAGTATTTTTTTTTTGGGGGGGGGGAGTCTATTGTAAATGGGGTAGTTTTCCTCATTTCCCTTTCACAGGATTTGTCACTTATATACAGAAATGCCTTTGATTTATAAGTGTTGATTTTATATCCTGCTACTTTGCTGAATTAATTTAATAGTTCTAGAAGTTTTCTGGTGGAACTTTTATGGTCTTCTAGTTATAGAATCATATCATCACCAAATAGTGCCAATTTGAGTCCTTCTTTTCCTATGTGTATCCCTTTCATTTCTTTCATCTGTCTAATTGCTCTGGCCAGTGTTTCAAGAACTATATTAAATAGAAGTGATGAAAGAGGGCATCCCTTGTCTTGTTCCAGTTTTTAGAGGGAATGCTTTCAATTTTTCTCCATTTAGAATGATGTTGGCCTGGGGCTTAGCACAGATATCTTTTATGATGTTGAGATATGTTCCTGTTATCCCTAATTTTTCTAGTGTTTTGAACATGAAGGGGTGCTATATTTTGTCAAATGCTTTTTCTGTGTCTAATCTATTAAGAAACTTATAAAACCACATATTTTGAAAATGTATAGTAAAAATCCATAGTGAAAAATTATGCCATGAAATTGTTAACATTTGATGAAATTAGATGGTGAGAATATCAATGTTTGTTGAACTATTGTTTATGCTTTCTATATTTAAAATACTTCAAAATAAAATAATTTTCAAATATTCAGTGCCATCCATTTTTGAAGAACCCAACTTCAAACATGTATCACTTCACAATTCTATTATCAGCCCTCTTCTTCTTCTTTCTGTTTCTTCTGTAACTAAACCTGCTATACTCAATATCAGAATTCAAGATGCATGATTCTTTACTCAATTGCATTTTCTAAATTCCTTACTTCCCTCCTAGAATTACAATGACTGATTCACTTTGTAATCTTTTCATTGTAAGTGCAAAATCTTTAATAATGTATTAAATAGACATTTATGGACTTACCAGGCACCCTACTCACTATCATTTATTCATTTTTTATTCATTTAATATTTATTGAGCTCTAATTACTTGCAAAAATATCTATGGTAACTGCTTACCAGTTGGGGGATTACCTGTTAAATTGCCTCCTAATGACCTGAAACATTTCATGTTCCTCTAAATATTGAACTCCAGGAAGCTTATTGGCTGCAGTGGCATAGTTGATACAGTGATGTTTCCTGGAAACCTTAATGAGCTTTGAAAAATGATTTATTTACTTGTGCATCCAAGTTGTTTCAGCACAGTGTGAGTGAAACTTCAGTTGCAAGTCATTTTATTATTCATTGGAATCAAATATATGAATTAATAAGGGGCTTAGAAAGTAATAGCAGCCAATTGGAGTCCACATAGATATTTTCATTTGTGTGACTATCTCATCAATCATTCTAACTATATTGAGGGGCTGCCAGTCTCTGAAGGATTCAGGAGCACATCCTGACCCCAGTGGATTTGTAATGTCCTGGGGTTGACAGCACATTTGTTTGGTTAGCAAGGCTTGCCTGCCTCACTGCTATCTAGTTTGCGTCAGTAACCTGCTCAAACAAATGAGGAATTTCTGAGAGCCAAATTGGCTCTCAGAAAATTATTTCATTTTAAAGTAAGCCTGGTGCTCCAGAGCATCTAACTATCCCCTTAATCTCCAAGATCTCTGTTGCTAGTGAGTAAACCAAATTACACATGCTCAAGTCAGTTTTTAGGTACAAAAATGACATTGTTACTGCTACAAGGCAGATGGAATGGTAGTACTAGATTGCCTGGCTCTACCATTTTTCTGCCAGGAATACTGAGTAAGTTACTTAGACTCCATCTACCTCAATTTCCTTCTTTGTAAAATGAGGAGGAATAAGAGTGTTTATCTCATAAAGGATTAAATTAGTCCATAATTGTCAAATTCTTATAACAACTTCAGCACATGGTAAGTTCTCAGTGAATGTTAGCTGTGCTTTTGAGAGTATAAGTGACTTTATGTAGAGATACAATGCCTTATGTACATAAGGAGATCTTTTAAATATTGATTTAAATTGAATTGAAGTAAACCATCATAGGCACATAGATTAAAGTGTTATCTAATGAGGACTCAAATACTACTGAGATGTGAGATGTGCCTTTGCCAAACCCAAACTGTCCCCAAGAAGATGTTATTCTCTTTCCAAACTGCATTAATTATCAGAAATCAAGTAGCTCCTCTCCTTTCAAAAGGCTTGCATTTCTCTGCTCCCCAGAATCGGTTGAGTTAGAAATCTTCTTCAATTTATCCTTTGTCAGCCATTTCCAGAATTCCCTTTTGTCCAAAATTGTTTTTCCATTTTTAGAATGCTTATGTACACAAGTCACATTGCATCAGCCCAGTTAGCACAAATATTTATGCATGAAGATAGGATGAGTCACTCCAGCACCCCAATACATTTGAAAAGAAAATGTTCTAAGGAAAATGTGTTTTGAACCTTAGTAAACACTAATATTCAATGCTTGTTGAGGGAACTTATCTTAATTAAACATTCTGTTGAATAAAGGTCATTCTATCCAGATTGTGTTTCCATTTCCCAGAAGTCCCTGGAGCAGGTTTGTCCATGACATTTATCTTAAAACCTGCCAGGCTCAGGCACTGAGAGCTCTTACCTCTCTGAGGTGATCTCATTCACAGCAGACTGTTCAGGGATTCATCTGGGCTCTGGGGACTGTGTGAGTGCCTATAGACCCCAGAAGTCACCACCCACTGTTGGGTTCTGAATGGCTCAGTAGTTCATGCGTCAGCCCAGCCCTGAAACACTGGTCTCCAATCATCATTGTCTCATTTTCTATAGCCTCAGGTTTCCAAGTGGAAAAAAAGAAAGGAGCATTCCTGCCCTGACTTCAAGAATATCACCTCTCTACTGTCTTTCCCAAAGAGAGGACCATGTAGGAGCCAGCAGGGAAATGTGCCCCCACATTGGAGGTGTGGGATTATTAGTTCCTAGACATTTTGCCCCCAGAGAACATTTGTGAGTGATGGCTATTTCCTGTGACTTGTTCTGCCAAACAATATATTAAATGCATCAACCTCAATGGTAAATCCACCAATTCCCTTTGTTAATTCTAAATGTCCTTTTTATTTCCCAAACAGGAGCAGAGTTGATCAATGATTCGATTATTTAGATCAAGAAACAATTTCAACAATATTTCAGTTTATTTATTCAGATAAACAGTTTCCCTAAAACAGTACCTTGTATTTGCTGGCTCCTTCAAATAACCTCTCTCTTTCTCATTGCTTCTTTGAAGGCAGCTGAACGGCTGAACTGCTCCCTGTTTGTGCACCCTTGGGACATGCAGATGGATGGGCGGATGGCTAAATATTGGCTTCCTTGGCTTGTAGGTTTGTGTCAGCTTGGGGTCTGAAACAGACACCAAACCTTGGGTTTTTCCAGTCATCTCTGAAACCCTCTTGTCAAGAGAGAAAATATGAATAATTAACATGATTGAAAATAATAGCAACTGCCATTTATTGAGCAAAGAAGTGCTGTATATATTACTGTTTGATTTTAATCATATCTAGTATGATCATAAATAAGTCACATCCTAAATAAATAACATATTTACTCTACAAGGTTGATATTATAATGAACATTTTACAGATGGAGAAACTAAGTCTTGGAGTGGTTAGGTAATTTGTCTACATCACAAAGTTAATGAGAGAAAATGGAATTTGCACATATCTGTTTGATTGCACAATTAACAGCATCAGCTGTTATAAATGAGGGCCTGGAATTATGAGTAGAAAGTTAACTTCTTCCACACAAGGATCTGAAACCTTAGATTATAGAAGACCTGTATTCCCGATGACCCTGTTATTTGCTCTCTCTTCTGCTCTTTTTTATTCCCCCTGAAACAGTTATTCAAGGTTCCACATGAAAGTGAGGGAAACAGAAAAAGAAGAAGCCTCCCTTTGTCCTATCCAATCTCTTGGTATTGGTCCCAATAGGAAGGAAAGATGGAGAATAGATGTAAAATTCTGGAGCTACAAGTGAAAAAAAAAAAAACCCAGTGAAAAGTGTTGGACTTTATTAGAGGAGGATTATCCATTCTCTCTCTCCAGTTTCTCCAGTCTAATTAGTATAATTATTAATTATGAAGTAATCAAATGGCAACCACCATAAAGAGTTAAATGAATAACAATATATTGGAAGTCAAAACCAGAATTTCTGTTGCAGCTTAATTTCTATTTCACTGTATAATCTGAGGCAAATCACTTCATCACCTTGGGCTCCATTTCCTCATCTGTAAAATAACAAAACTGATCTGGATTCCTTTAAAGTTATCTTTTGCCCTTACACTTTATATGCTCCTGTGATTGCTGGTGGAAACTAAAGTATTTAATAAGCTAGCTTCCTACCCACCCCTACCAAGTTCTTGAATAACAAGAAGAAGAGATAACCTAAGAGGCTCAGTCAGTTCTGTCCAGCTTCCAAGATAATCTCATCCTGATTCACAAACTTTTGACAAGTCCAACAAACTTACTTATATTGCAACTTTCCACATGAAAAACATTATTTACATATAGTCATTTCATCATTCATTTATGCAACACACATATGTGTATTGTGTGTGTGTGTGTGTGTGTGTGTGTATAGATCTCCTCAAAAATGTCAAGCTTTATACTAGGCACTTGGGATATACATCTGAACAAAACCTCTGCCCTCATGGAGCTTATATTCTGGCTTGAGGAAAAAAATATTTTAAACAACTACACCAATCATAAACATGCAAACAGGTCAGTTTCAAGAAAGTTATTGTGAATACAAAAATGATGTTAGTGCATTGTACAATTTCCAGCCGGGAAGGATTACAATCCAATTCACATTGTAAATGTAACTTTAGCTCCTCGATGAAGGATGTCTTATGAGGCTGTGATTGAAGTAATTAATGGAAAGCAGAATCACAGGACCAGAAGGAAATAATGCTGTCCATTCCCCAGCTTTCAGTAAGCTCTGCCTTTAGCTCAATTCAAGATGGATATGAATCCATCATTTTTCCAAAATTCCCAGGAGGCCAGGGAGCTAGAGGTATCTCTGCCTGTGGTTTATCAATGGGCAGAATGAGCATCCAGGGAAGCCTCAGTCGGCAGCCCAAAGTCAGGCTTCCTCAGAAGGTGCAGGGCACAGCTGTACAGCATTCAGATATTTTTGAATCACAGTTGGAAAAGCAGTCATCTGGCAATGTAGCCTAAACTGGCTCCTTGGGGATGAAGGCATAAGACATGGATCGGCTCTTTCTTCTAGGAGCACAAAGCACTTGAAACAACTTATGTTAATCCTGTGATTTTCAACCTTAGCTCCAAAAGGCAGCAAAGATTTGGCATAAATAACAATAATAGTTAATATTGAGCAATAACTGAATGCCAGGAGCTATCTGCTGAATCCTCAAAATAGCCTATGGCAGGAACTAGTCATTATTATCCTCATTTTACAGATGACGAAATTAAGACACAGAGAGGTAACTAATTTTTGCTGAGCACAATGATAGAATGTGACATTCTATCCAGGAACTTTGCTGACATCATATTTCCAAAATTCCATAAAAGCCTTGCAAGGTAGGCAGCAAGGTCTTCATTTTTACAGGTAAGAAGCACAGATCCAGTAATATTAAATAACTTATCACAGACCAGGAGGCAGAAAATTGCAGGAGCTAGCATTCAGCCCAGACTCCTGACACTCACTCTGCTTGCCCTACTCCATCCAAAAGTGAAGTCAGGAGAATCAGGACAAGACCTAGGTCCTCAACAGCGCTAGCCACTAGACAACTCTCTCTGTAATGGGTAAATAGGAAGCTTCAGATGATTCTCCTTGCCAAAGCAATGGCATGTATGCAGCTAAATCATGCTGGAGCTCAAGGACCCTAACTTTCTTGGGATTGATAATTCCCTGGCTATTAGCTACTATTCCTCAGCCATTAATATTACCAAGCTTCTTCCTGCTCAAGGTGACAAGCATAAACTTTGTGACTATTTCCTCTTTCAGGAATGCCAGCAGAGACCACCATGGCTGTTTGCTCCATGATCATGGGTGGGGTGTTTGAGAAGTTTCCCAAACTGAAAGTGTGCTTTGCACATGGAGGTAAGACCATGTTTGCATTACTCAGCTCAGGTTGTCATAATAAAATGCCATATATGGGGTGACTTAATCAACAGACATTTATTTTCTCACAGTCCTAAAAACTGAAAGTCCAAGATCAAGGAGTCAGCAGGGTTGGCGTCTAGTGAGAGTTCTTTTCCTGGTTACAGATGGCAACCTTCTCATAGTGTTCTCACATGACCCTTTTCCTGTGCATGCATGGGTCAGGGATTAGAGTGGGGTGATTGGAGAGTTCTAATATTTCTTCCTTTTCCTACAAGGACATCAGTCCTACTGGATTAAGGGCCCCACCCTCTGACCTCATGTAACCTTAATTACCTCCTTAAAGTCCTGTCTCCAAATATAATCACATTGGAGGTTAGAACCTCAACACAGGAATCCTGGAGGGTTACACTTCCATTCATAACATCCTTCCAGTCACCTTTCTAGTCATATGATGTATGGGGACCAAATTCCATTTCTGTAAGCAAATTTAGTTTGGTTGGCACGGTTTTCATTTTACTTTGTTTTTTATTTAAATCCCTCTAGTCAAGCAAAGTAAGGGGAAAAGCAGGGGCAGAGCCCAGGAAAACAGAGGGAAGATCAGTAGAGGAAGGAGATTGAGTGGGAGAGAGGAGGAATAGAAAAAGTGGAATGAATTTGACAAAAGTATATTGTGTACATATATGAATATACCACAGTGAGTTCCACCTTTATGTATATCTATAAAGCACCAATTTAAAAGATAATAAATAGAAGCGAAACCAATAGAGTGGAGGAAGGGGAATGGAAAAGGAGGAGCAGAGGGAAAGAAGAAGTACCAGAGACTGAAATGGAGCAAATTATATTCCATGCATGTATGATTATGTCAAAATGAACCCCACTATTATGTATAAATATAATGCACTAATAAAATATTCTTAAAAATAAATAAATCCCTCTACTCAGACTATGAGCTCTCCAGTCCCTAATATGCCACCATGATTTTGATATCACTCAACTGATAGGTCATCTCAATATTTTGCTATGGTAACCACATTAAATTTGAAAAGCTTATATCTTTACATACTTGTCTACTCTCTTTGGCACAAATTCTTCAGAAATTTGGATTTCTGGATATATTCATGCCATTTTTCCCAAGTCATCTTCCAGCATTTGGAACCCAGCAGGTCCTTTATAAATACCTAATCAGCTGGGCTATGGAAACTTCTCCTTAGAATATCAGGATTTAAAGGAATTCTTTTCAAAAAATACTGGGGATTGAACCCAAGGGTGCTTTACCACTGCGCTATATGCTCATTCCTTTGTTTGTTTGTTTGTTTGTTTGTTTGTTTTGAGACAGAGTCTTACTAAGTTGCTTAGGGCCTCACCAAGTTCCTGAGGCTGGCCTTGAATTTGCGATCCTTCTGCTTTAGCCTCTGGAGTCACTGGGATTACAGGTGTGCGCCACTGCACCCAGCAAAAGGAATCTTTTTTAATCAACGCTAGCTGCTCAGTAATGAGTTTTACTTGCAGGTGGTGCTTTCCCTTTCACAGTGGGAAGAATTTCCCACGGATTCAACATGCGTCCAGATCTGTGTGCCCTGGACAATCCAACTGACCCGAAGAAATACCTAGGCTCCTTTTACACAGATTCCTTGGTTCATGATCCTCGATCCCTCAAGCTGTTAGTAGATGTCATGGGAAAGGTAAGCTAGGTTTGCTATTTGGATGGTTTATGCAGAGCACAAATCTGTAACCAGTTACTTGGCAAGTTAAGTAAAGGCCAATGTGAATTCATTTTTTAAAAAATTAACTATTTAGTATAGTTGTCCCTTGATGTCCAAAGGAATTGGTTCCAGGATCACCAGAGTTACCAAAATTCTCAGATGTTCAAGTCTCTTACATAAAATGGCTTAGTATTTGCATATTTCCTACATACATCTTCCTATATATTTTTAACTCATCTCTAGATGACTTATAATATCTAATACAATGAAAATACTAAGTAAACAGCATAGTTATACTTTACTAATATAGTAAATAGTCGTTACACTGTACTGTTGAAGGAATAGTGACAATGGGGAAAGTCTGTACATGTTCAGGGCAGAAGCAATTTTTTTTTCCAAAATATTTTCAATCTATGCTTGGTTGAATCCAAGAATACAGGACCCAAGGATACATAGTACCAACTAGCCATTATTTCAGTTCCATTTTATTACTTACAGCTATCTATAGAAGGTTTTCAAATTTTTCCATGGAAAAAAATTGGGGGACTCTCTTAAAAGTACATGGACATAGTGAAAGATTTGTAATATGGTACTTGAATTGAAATCTAAATCTTTAAAAATCTTGCTCTTGGGGTTGGGGTTGTAGATCAGTGGTAGAATACTTGCCTAGCACATGTCAGGCACTGGGTTTAATCCTCAGCACCACATAAAAATAAGTAAATAAAACTAAGGTATTGTGTCCACTTATAACTAAAAAATTATTTTTAAAAAAATCTTGCTCTCTAGAAAAAAGAGAAAGTTGCAAGTAGTGTTCTATCTCTGGAATAGATACTTCATCTACTTTAATGCTCTTTCTCTGGTTTAAGAAAATCACTAAAATATGATTGTTAAAAATTCTAGTTTGGGAATAAATTATATTAATCCCTCCTTATCCAAGGGGGATACATTCCAATATCTACAATGAATGTCTGAAACCAACATAGTACCAAATCCTATATATAAGCACTGAGATATTACAGCAGTCAGTCTGATAACAGGATGGTTACCAAGTGACTATTACGAGTAGTCTAAACAGCCTGGATACTCTGGACAAAGGGATAATTCATTTGGACTGAACAAAGTGGGACAGTGCAAGATTTTATAATTCAACTCATAATGACATATAATTTCAAACGTATGAACTGTTTATTTCTGGAATTTTCCATTTAATATTACTTTAGTGTAAATAACCAGGGTAACTGAACCATGGAAAGCAAAATACCAGGTAAGGGATACTACTGTACATAGTTGAACTGTGCCTCTGAGCTATCTAGCTTCTGTGTTGTCTCTGTGGAGCCAGCAGTTGATGGTGATTATTGATTCTTTTTCGGTTTGGATGGAGGTCGACAGGGAAGTATGTAAACAGAAAACCACACAGAAGAGAAGCTGAAAGAGACTTTCTGGGCCCTAGACTTTCAGTAACGAAGGAGGGGAATAGGGAAAGTGGTGGCAAATTGGGGAAAGTTCCATTCTCATGATATCCCTTCAAGCCTAGCATTCTTGGAAATGAAAACATTAGAAGAAAATACCCTTAGCACATACAAAGCCCATCTTCTGAGAAATACCATCAGAAGTGAGGAATACCATTAGCATCTCAAACAGTACTGAGTGCAATACACATTATTCAGGGAGCCAAAGCAGAAGAGGAAGAAAATGACAAGCACCTTAGGATAACCAGAGGTTAGACTAGTTGGTGAACATATGGGAGTACATCTCTAGTAGTACTCCTAGTAAAACTCAGAAGGCATTTTGCAAATATAATTATACTGAGATTTTGCATTCAAATTGTGAATGCTTGAACTACTAAAATTTGGACATCAAAAGTTAACATATCCTTGGGGCTGACATTGTCGCTCAGTGGTAAAGCGCTTGCCTAGCACATGTGAAGCACTGGGTTCAATCCTCAGCACCACATAAAAATCAAGAAATAGAATAATAAAGGTATTGTATCCATCTACAGCCAAAAAAAATATTTTTAAAAAAAGTAAATGTAGCCTCATTTACTCACAGGCTGGTCAATTCAGGACATAGAAGATATATATATTATATATGTGTGTGTGTGTGTGTGTGTGTGTAAACTCCAAAAACAAACTCCAAATCGAGAATAGCTAAGAAAAGTTCTAGCAGTATATATGGGCAAGAGAGTAACCTATCCAGATTGCAACAAGAAAACAGGTTCCTGAGGAATGAGGTCCCCAGGAAGGAAAAAAAAATGAGACTGATGGATTATGTAATGCATTTAAGAGGTAGAAATTATTATTTCCAAATATTAAATAGAACTGTTGGTGTGTTAGGAACAAAATAACAGTACATACATAGAAAATTAAACCAATGAAAGAAAAGGAAGTAACTCCAAGTAAACAAAAATCTGTATGGGGGCAGATAATCATTGTACATTATTTGACTCAGCATTAAACAATCAGCACTATACTTATCATCATACATGTATAAGTACTAAATATTGGCTTTATTTAAAATTGTAATTCAATCAAGAAAATAGAGAAGTTGAGTATAAGGAAGAGATTTCCAATGACCATAATGGGAAATCAGTAAATATTCTTCAAAGCTAATGAATCAAGAAATGATAAGCGGGCTGGGGATGTGGCTCAAGCGGTAGCGCGCTCGCCTGCCCGGGTTCGATCCTCAGCACCACATACAAACAAAGATGTTGTGTCTGCCGAGAACTAAAAAATAAATATTAAAAAAAAATTCTCTCTCTCTCTCTCTCTTAAAAAAAATGATAAGCATATTATCAGGGAATATGAATGTAGTTATTGGAAGATGTAAGTTAAAAAGGTGAAAGTGGCTACTTTAAAGGATAAGAGTTAAGAAAGTGGCACAGGACTGTTTTTGATAATATATTTTAGTAATATTTGCTTAACTATGTACAGGTGTTATTTGGATAAATCACAATATTAAACCATATTATAAAACTAAATATATATTACATATTGTAAAAACAACCATTTTTAGTATCTATAAACAGACATATATATAAAGTATATTTTCTTTTTTTATTTTTTTTTATTTTTTTTTCTCTTTTTTTAATATTTATTTTTTAGTTGTAGTTGGATACAATAACTTTATTTTATTTATTTATTTATTTATTTTTTTATGTAGTGCTGAGGATCAAACCCAGGGCCTCGCACATGCTAGGCAAGTGCTCTTCCACTGAGCCACAATCCCAGCCCCAAAGTATATTTTCTTATCTTTATTTTATTTATTTACTTATATGTAGTGCTAAGGATCGAACCCAGTGCCTCACAAATGCTAGGCAAGCACTCTATCACTGAGCCACAACCCAGCCCCTAAAGTATATTTTTTATGATTGTGTGTGTGTGTGTGTTTGTGTGTGTGTGTGTGAATGACAGATTTTTAGAGGTCACTCATGTACTCATGATGATTATGTCATAATTTTGGCTAGACCCATTTGTAATCTATCACTGCATAAGTAATCACTTTCAATACTTAGCAGCTTGAAATAACAATTATTATCTCTCATGATCTCTGTGTGCCAGCAATTTAGAAGCAGCTTAACTATCTCAAGGTCTGTTAAAAGTCTGCAGGCAAAATACCAGTCAGGACTGTAGTCACCCAAGGCTTGACTAGGACTGAAGGATTTATTTCCAAGGTAGATTTTACTTATGGTGGGACTCCTCAGTGTCTCTCCAGGTGGGTCTCTCTGGAGATCTGCTTGAGTGCCCTTACATATGGCAGGCAAGTAGTTCACCCATCAATGAGAGAGAAAAATAGGGAGTTAGCAGATAAGGGAAAAGAGAAAGCCCACTAGACAGAACTATCCATTTATGACCTAGAGTCAGAAGCTACATAGTATTAATTTAAAACCACCACATTCCACCCTCTGGCCACAAATTACTTATATTCCTCATAAATGCAAAATATCCTTTCCCCTGCTAAGACTGCTCCAAAAGTCTGATCATTTATGGTATCACCTTGAAATCTAGAATGTCATTGTTTAAAAGAACTTGTAGATAAAGCTCATAATGTACAATTTCTATCAAGCTGAAGAACTGCAAACCAAAAAGACAAATCCTTTTGCTCCCCCTATACTTAATAAAAAATGATAGGACAGGCACAGGATATTTGCTATATAACCTCCAGTTTCAAAAGGGGGAAAACAGGAGGTTCAGCAGAGACTCTAGTCACTAGCAAATCTGAAACCCATCAGGAACATGTTGTCATCTTCTTGATTAGAACTCAAAGGATAGGAATGTTTCACCATGGTTCTTGATTCTACAATCTGAGTCATCTTTTTTCCACAAATGTTAGCTTGAGTTTATAATGGAGTACTTTTTATAGACTGCTTCATGTTTGTACAAGATTTGGAGTGCGAATGTCTCTTTTCAAAAATTTTCATTTTCTTTCAGCCCAAACTGTTACTACAATTCTCTTTAAAACTTTGTGGATCTTTTATGAATCTTACTAAGTTTCACACCATTGGGCAAAAATTTTACCTACAAATCTCTGAGCCTAAGCTCCCTAGAAGATCTTATTGTTTAAATGGTTCTTTGAATGCTGCCTAAGTCATTTCAGGTCATAACAAAAACATAGTCACATCTTGGCTTCACTTTTATATTATGTTTTTCCAATTGTGCATTGTTTTTAATCTTTACCAGAAAGCAATTTCTTTGTTTTAGCATCATTTGTCATTGGAAGAGTTGGGAATTTTCTTTTTCTTTTTAATATTTATTTTTTTAGTTTTAGGTGGACACAATATCCTTATTTTACATTTATGTGGTGCTGAGGAATGAACACAGTGCCTCGTGCATGCTAGGCAAGCACTCTACCACTGAGCCACAGTCCCAGCCCAGAATTGAGAATTTTCAACCCAACAATTCCTGTCTCCTTACATGTAATTGCCCTTTCTTTCAGGTGCTCCTTCTGCATTCTAATGTAAGCATCAAGAAGAAACTAGGCAG